CTTCCCTCCTCCCTCAAGTGAAGTGTCCATCTTCCTCCATTCTCCACCCTCAGATCTCTCCAAACCCCTCATCTACAGCTCCTCTTATTTCTTGGATTTTTTTATTATACAAAAATCAGGGAATTGCCCAAAAATCCATCCATATATATATTTTAATGCTTCTCTCAGTCTTAACTGGAGCATAAGGGTCTTACCCTTTTTTTCTTTTTCTTCTTAATTTTTTTTTTTCTTTTATGCAAAGAAAATCAGCAGCCTTTGAGAATTGAGATCACTGAGGAGGAGTTTCAACGAAATCTCGCGAAAGTTGATTTCTTTTTCATTTTTTGACCAAATCTTTTTCTTTAAAGTCGTAATTTTTCTGGATGATTTCTAAAATTTTCCTAACAACTCACTAGAAAAGAGAAGATGAGAATTCAGAATTCATCACCAACACTTGCATCTGATGGTAATTTCTTGACTTTAATCCTGATCTTCTATTGTTTCTGAAGTTGTTTGTGATGTGTGTGGTAAATATCTGTTTTGGAATTGTTTTGGTTGCAGCGTTGTGTCATAGCCGTGTGATCTTGAATCTATTCCATTCCATTTGTTCCTCTATCTGGATGGCAAACACAACAAGGGTTTGTGGGTCATGCCCACCATCTGTTTTTCTTTGATTCACTTCTGTAAGCTAGCTTGTCTTCAATTTTCATTGATCTTTGCTTTGTTTATTCAATTCTGAGAAAAAAGGGTAGTTTATAGCTGCCAAAAATTTTAAAGGGAAAAAAATCTCCAATTTGTGGCTTGTATGTGGGCATAGTGAAACAAATTTAAGTTTTTGAATACAAAGATGGTGTCAAGATCCTACTCCAATCTTTTAGAGCTTGCCTCTGGTGAATCTCCATCATTTGGTCGGATGAGCCCTCGGATTCCGCGGATTATGACAGTAGCAGGGATAATTTCCAATCTTGATGATGATCCCACCGACAGTGTATGCTCTGATCAGTCATCATCCTCGGTGCAGAAGGACCGGATTATCATCGTAGCTAATCAGCTGCCCATAAGGGCCCAACGGAAGTCAGATGCTAGTAACAATAATGGTAACAGTAAGGGTTGGATTTTCAACTGGGATGAGAATTCGTTGTTGCTTCAACTGAAAGATGGGTTGGGAGATGATGAGATTGAGGTGATTTATGTTGGTTGCTTGAAGGAAGAAATCCACCCAAGTGAACAAGAGGAGGTGTCACAAATTCTGTTAGAGACCTTTAAGTGTGTGCCGACTTTTTTGCCTCCTGATCTTTTCAGCCGGTATTATCATGGCTTCTGTAAGCAGCAATTGTGGCCTTTGTTTCATTACATGTTGCCCTTATCGCCGGATCTTGGTGGGAGGTTTAACCGTTCATTGTGGCAAGCCTATGTATCAGTGAACAAGATTTTTGCTGACAGAATTATGGAAGTGATTAGTCCAGAAGATGATTTTGTCTGGGTACATGACTATCACCTCATGGTGTTGCCAACTTTCTTGAGGAAGAGGTTTAACAGGGTGAAACTTGGTTTTTTCTTGCATAGTCCTTTCCCCTCATCGGAGATTTATAGGACATTACCTATAAGGGAGGAGCTGTTGCGTGCCTTGTTGAATTCAGATCTAATTGGATTCCACACTTTTGATTATGCACGGCATTTTCTATCATGCTGCAGTAGAATGCTCGGTCTTACTTATGAATCTAAGAGGGGGTACATAGGCCTTGAGTATTATGGAAGGACAGTTAGTATCAAAATTCTCCCAGTTGGAATACATATGGGTCAGCTTCAGTCTGTTTTAAGCCTCCCAGAGACTGAAGCCAAGGTTAAGGAACTACTCAAGCAGTATTGTGGTCAGAATAGGACAATGTTGCTTGGGGTGGATGATATGGACATATTTAAAGGTATAAGTCTGAAATTACTGGCGATGGAACAGTTGCTTCTACAACATCCAGAGTGCCAGGGTAAGGTGGTGTTGGTTCAAATAGCAAACCCTGCTAGGGGCAGAGGGAAAGATGTTAAAGAAGTGCAGGAGGAGACATATTCAACTGTGAAGCGGATCAATGAAACTTTTGGAAAGCCTGGATATGACCCTATTGTATTGATTGATGAACCACTAAAGTTTTACGAGAGGATTGCATATTATGTTGTTGCAGAGTGTTGTTTAGTAACAGCTGTGAGGGATGGTATGAATCTTATCCCTTATGAATATATAATCAGTCGGCAAGGAAATGGAAAGTTGGATAGAGTTTTGGCATTGGAACCATCCACCCCAAAGAAGAGCATGTTAGTTGTGTCAGAATTCATTGGCTGCTCCCCCTCTCTGAGTGGAGCAATTCGAGTAAACCCATGGAATATTGATGCTGTGGCAGATGCAATGGACTGCGCACTGAATATGGCAGAGCCAGAAAAACAGCTCAGGCATGAGAAGCATTATAGATATGTCAGTACCCACGATGTTGGTTACTGGGCTCGTAGTTTTCTTCAAGATTTAGGGAGGACATGTAAAGAACATGCAAGACGGAGGAGCTGGGGTATTGGGTTTGGTTTGAGTTTCAGAGTTGTGGCACTTGATCCTAACTTTAGGAAGCTCACAATGGAACAAATAGTGTCAGCCTACAAGAGGACTACAACTAGGGCAATACTTCTAGACTATGATGGCACTTTGATGCCTCAGGGTTCTATTGATAAGAGCCCCTCTACTAAATCCATTGATATCCTTAATAGCTTATGCAGAGATAAGAACAATACGGTTTTCACTGTCAGTGCCAAGAGCCGGAAGACACTTTCTGAGTGGTTTTCTCCGTGTGAAAAGCTGGGTATTGCTGCTGAGCATGGGTGCTTCCTGAGGTAAAATGTGAAACTTTGAACCTAATTTCTAGTTGTATCATCAATAAGTCAAATGTGGTCTTTTGAGTTGAAATTTTGGTTTCAGGCTGAAGCGAGATGCGGAATGGGAAACATGCATACCTGTGGTAGACTGTTCTTGGAAGCAGATTGCAGAACCTGTGATGAGTCTTTACACTGAAACTACTGATGGTTCCACTATTGAAGATAAGGAAACTGCACTTGTCTGGTCTTATGAAGACGCAGATCCAGATTTTGGATCATGCCAAGCTAAAGAACTTCTTGATCATCTTGAAAGTGTGCTAGCCAATGAACCAGTTACAGTGAAGAGTGGGCAGAATCTTGTGGAGGTTAAGCCTCAGGTTTGTATTATATATCCCCCAAAAGCTGTTCTCTAGTTCTTTACATTTTCTGGTTCATATTGAGCTATAAAGGCCTATTTTTAAAATTTAACATAAGATGCCAATGATCTGTGTTTCAAAATGTTGGTAACTTTTGTAATCAGGATAGTGATAGTGTTAGTGTTATTGTTTGCCCTGCTATGGAGTTTATGCAATTGTAAAGCCTTGAACGAGTGATTGTTCCTTTCTAGAGTTTAATTTATTGTTAGTCTTGCAGCTTTCTAAAATGTATAAATCAATATGTAGGAACTTCGTTAAAAATTTCTCAATAGTTTTAATTTATTATGATTAAATTAATTTTAATTGATGTCTTGTATAATTTAGTAGTTATATTAACACATAAAACTCTTTTGAAAGCAATTATCAAATAATAATATAATTATCTTCATGGTAGAATACTGAAAAAGTTACAACTATAGTAATTCACAGTAATCCCAAACACAACTTTAGTCTATTTTGTTTTGACTGAACCAGTGAACCACAATATTAGCATGGTTCCTTTTTTTCTCTTCTTTTTTTTTTTTTTTTGATTAACCAATTATAAAATTTTGTTATATGGTGTGCAAGAGATACTCCAATTTGTATAAAGTTCCTTGTTACTATTTTCCTTTCACTATTTTGCAAATGTCACATACATGGGGCATGTGCAGGGTGTAAGCAAGGGAATTGTAGCGAAACGTCTTTATTCCATCATGCAAGAAAGAGACATGTTGCCAGATTTTGTTCTGTGCATTGGAGATGATCGATCTGATGAAGACGTGTTCGAGGTAATCACCAGTTCAATGGCAGGCCCATCGGTTGCACCCAGAGCTGAAATCTTTGCCTGTACAGTTGGTAAGAAACCGAGTAAAGCCAAGTACTATCTGGATGACACAGTAGAAATTGTTAGATTGTTGCAAGGTTTGGCTTTTGTTTCAGAGCAAATGGTTTCTGTGTAGGACTTTGGCACCACCTCCACTCAATTGCAATGTAAATTAATTGTGTTACCTAAGAAAGCCATGCATGCAACTGGATACTTTTTTCGTGTTTGATCGAATTCTAGAAAAGTTGTAAATATCTGTTTTGTTTCCCATTTCAGTTTTCACTAGTCCCAAATAATGGGCAACTAGATTGTAGCCTCTGCTGCTGTGACATGGGAACTCGATCTGAAATATTTCTGTTTTTAATTAAAATTTTGTCTGCCTTTTTGTTTACGCTAGTTTCCAGCAGTTGGTACGGCCTTGTGCTATCTGATGCAGTGATTTTGCTTTCACACCGCTGCAGAATGAGTGTTTTAGAAAACTATTATGGTGAAGATGTTGGTCTTTACAATGGGAAGTATATCTGATATTGGCTAGTTTCGTTGTCTTCTGTGACCTTATTACTAAAAGGGTTTCCTAGTGGAGTGTTAGCTATACATCAAATAATAAGAATGTTCATTCTTCATGGATTCTCCATGCAATGCATGGCCAGAGATACAAATGAATAACATGCCTAAGTGATCCAAGTTCTTTGGAGAACTTGAAATTCAACACCTTAAACATGTTTTATTATACTTTACCATATTGTTTAGCATGGGGAAAAGGAGGAGTCTACTGAAGAATTGCAGGAAGCATGGCTCAGCGTTAGGAAATTTTGGCTGTTCTAAATTTCAAGGTCCACATTTCTAGTAATTCTTTACTGATCTTGTAATTCAATTCTTCTGCTCTGGGAGTGCCCATCATGTTCCCCTTGATTTCTTGCACATACCAGGAATTTAATCAAATGCCTGTGTGGGATACGGTTTTTCCTTTCTTTTCTCCCTTTTCTCCCTTTTTGACATGTACTCATACATTCTGCAATATTTTAAGCAGTTTTTATAGTTTTAGGTGTTTTAGGATGATATATGTAATTTTATGATGAGGATATTTATATTTTTTAATTGTAAAATGAGAATTAATCTATTTTATATATTTTTACACATTTCACTCACATACTTACAATATTATTATTGAGCCGTTTGCATCATTAGCTTCAAGATGCTGATCTTTGTAATAATGGTTAGGCTGCAATGTACCTTTTTTACCCTTTTTTGAATAAAGTATTATCATTGCCAATAAAAAACTTTGATTGCAGATAACGATGTAATTGTGATTTGCATTGGGTTGGAATACCTATTTAATTTGTTTCTTAAAAAGGGAAAAAGTCCCTTTTTCATCCACAACCTTTATGATCACATCACAAGGGACACTTTCATCCCTAACTTTCATTTTGTGCCACTAGTAGTTCTTAATCTTTTTGAAAATGTCCACCTTTAGTCCCTCCATCAACGTAGCCATTAAATCTAACCAAAAAAATAAAATGAGGTGAATAGTAAGTCCTTAATAGTTCTTTAGGTGGGACTATTATATAAAGCGGAGGAGGGAAAAAAAAAATAATGTGCAAGTATTTTCCTACTTGAAGGTTTCATTGAAGATGCCACTATTAGCCACATCATCATTTCTTGCTCTAAATGAATGGAATGACCAATGTTAGACTTTTTTTTGAAAAGTTAGGGACTACTTATGGCATAAAAATGAAGGTTTAGGATGAAACCGCCTCCTGGTAGAAAGGCTAGGGATAAAAGAAGGATTTTACCCAAATAAAAAATTTGACTTTTGAGGATCATAGAAATCTGGTTAAAATTGGCTCTTTGCTCTGTTTAATATTTTGATTTATAAAAATAATATAATTATAATATTATATATAATATTGTATTTAAATAGAATTGTAATTTTTTTATTAAAAATAATGATATAATTATAAAATAAAAATTTATTTATATATAAATTTTATATATTATATTTAAATAAAATCTTGATAATTTTTTTATTTTTAATAATTGAGATTTATTATAATTTTTTAAATAAAAAATAAGTATATTTAATAAATATAATAAAAAATAAATATTAATTATTAAAAATAAAAAATAAAAAATTTATATAAATATAATATATAAATAAATTTTTATTTATAATTATAATATTTATAATATTATAATATATAATTATAATACATATTATGATTATAAATTTATAATATCAAATAATTATGTATTTTTGCCCCACAATGCGCAGTGCTATATACCTTGGTGTGAATGGCTGACATGCTCCCGTATACCAACCTAAGAAAGGAAGGCGATTGGATCAAAATAATAATAATATTATTATTATTAAAAGGGTGGAGGCAGTCAAAGAAGCAAAAGTCATGTCTCGAACAAAAACTTCCTTGACTTTTTTTGTATTTTTTGCCTTTGTCAATTATTATCGATTACCATTCAACTCCCTGACCTCTTTTTCTTACTTTGAAAATCATAACCCAAAATCTTTGATTCCCAGTCTTTTCTTCCCTTTATAAATTGGCTCCCCAAAGCCATCATCCTCAAAATAGACGTCATGGCGAACAATATTAATCTTGGAGTGGTGGAGAGGGCTTTCGGCAGCCTAGGCAAGGGGTTTGATTTAACATCCGATTTCCGGCTCAAATTCTGCAAAGGCAAGCAGAGGCTGGTTTTACTCAACGATACAGAAGTGAGAGAGATCGTAGTTCCGGGTTTTGGAACCGTAGGAGGCGTCTCCGGCGATATAAAATGTGATAAGGGCGAGCACTGCCGTTACCAGTCTGATATTCTTGATTTCAACCAGGTAAAGATCAGCATTTATTTTAAGTGGAGCTTTTATACCAGCGTTGAATCTTTCATGATTATAAAATCCTTTTTTTTCTGAATTGCATGTCTCATAATTAAGGGACAATATTTCAGTGATTATTAGAGTTTACATGTCTTGATGTTAGAGGTTTTAAATCTAAATCCATCCTAACTGAAAATGAAAAGGGATTGGGGAGGAAATGAGTTTTTTTTTTTAATTGTACAAATGAGTATGATCATCAGATGTAAAAAAAATAATACAGTAGTAACATTTAGTGTTTTAAAATGGGAATAGATGTCGGAATTTTACAACAGAAAATCATCGGTGACGGGCAAAATCCCGTCTGGATTCTTCAATGCAATGTTTGGATTCGACAGCGGATGTTGGGCGAGGGATGCAGGCAACACCAAGTTCCTAGGTCTTGACGGCAACTTCATTATTCTATTCAATCTTCATATTGACCGTTATCCTCTTGCTTTGTGTGATGAGGTCCGAAACGCGGTTCCATCTTGTTGGGATCCGGCAGCCCTGGCCAGGTAATGCCTATCGCTTAATTGTAATTTGTTTTTTTTTAGAGGAAGATATATTTATGTATAAATTTTATATATTAGATTTAAATAATATTTTAATTATTTTTTTTAATAATTAAGATTTATTTATATTTATTAAAAATAATTATTTTTTATTTAAAAAATTATGATAAATTATAATTATTAAAAATAATAAAAAAATTATTAATATTTTATATAAATATAATGTATGAAATTTGTGAATTAATGAATTTTTTTTTATAGATATCATTAAAATTTTTGTTAATGAAGTAGGAAAAACCTAAATCCTTAAATATCATACAATAATTTTGTATATATAAGAGAAACAAATTAGAATTTAAGTAGTTTTATCCCTTTTTTTTTATATTTTTGAACCGGGAAACTTGGGGTTGAAGAGTGAGTGCATGGGGGTTTGAATCCCGAACTTTAATGTTCTGAACACTATCCCTCCTAAGATATGAACACTAGGATAATCAATAATAAATAATTTAAGTTTTATCGGTCAAAGCAAAATTATCAAATTAATTGCATCATTTAGCTTAGAATTTTGGGTGATGTTATAAAAATAATATTATTTATTTTTT